ACGGTCAGGAAAAGGTTTGTCAGGTCATTCCGGAAGATTATCCCTCTCAATCCCAGCAATCTCTTTCCCAATATCACAGCCGAGAAATTTGCAATCAAGAATGAAACAGAGATCAGACCACGTGCTGTCCACTGACGTCACGCGACGGTCAGTGTAGGCCGCGTGTATGCCTATTTGACTGATTATCAGGACTTCGCACGTGCTCAAGAGTCCAGCCTCACGACTGACGTCCCGCCAGCGTCACAAACCAATGACGATAATAAACAACATTGTTTTGGAGACAAATTCGTGTATCATACTCGTGTCATATAAGATAACAAATTTGTTTGATGTGTCCGAACTAAATACTAGATATGTACGTTTTACAACTGACAAACATGATACCGTACAAAAAACGTTAAAGCAGAGGAGGTCGACACACAGCAGAGACAACATAGGATTTGAAAAAGAGGTTATGATAATCATATTTTGTCATCAAGTAATGCTCAATGTATCACATTCAATTCTTAGCACATATAATGTGGTTTTTGTTTTTAATTTGTTGTTTTTAAGTAGCATCAATATACAGTGTATTTATAGCTGAGAAATTAAGACATTAACAAACATCCTCAACCATTCAACAATTCCTTTGATGTGATGTTTTGATGAGGGAGAGGGCTGGTATAGGCTTTGCCTGTTGCCCAATCGCCATTAAATCGGATTGATTAAATAAGATATTTTGAAATGGTTTTTGTTTTTTTTTGTTTTTTTGTTTGTTTTTTTTTTGGGTTTTTTGGGGGTGGGGGGATGGATGCCAAAAAATAGACAATACAAATATTGTTTACTATGATGATACATGACCACTGTTTTCATGAAAATTGTCATAACATCGCTATTTTGACAATCTATCTTAAGAATTGCACATAAAAAAATGACAAAAATGAATTTCTGTCGAGTGATCTAAATTCGTAAGGTATTAGCTATATGATATACCTTAAGTGTATGGTAGAATGCTGATATCATTAACGACACACAGCGGAAATGAAAGAATAGGTAAGAAGGCCATAACTGTTACATTAGGGTTAGAATATTAACGTTGACTCTTCAGTGTCCTTTAAGCAGAGGACATAGAAAGACACTTCTACAGGGGCCCCGCATAGGTTACCCCTTATCATATGCTACACACGCGGGGAGATACTCAATAATTGATAATAATAATAATTCGAGGTTCTTATATACCACTTTATCACAACCTAGTTCGTAGGTCGTCTCAAAGAGGTTCACAAAATATTATCCGTAGTTATAGGGCCTTTGCAACCAGCCAATATCTTTCTCAACTCCCTTGGAAGCATCCAGCCGTTGCTGTCATTTTGGCGCTCACAGCTAGCATTCTACAGTTCTAGCATTGCCCAACCACGTACTCACATACAGCTGAGTAGACTAGAACAAGCGGAGAAAAGTATCTTGCTCAAAGATACAACACAGTGCCGTGCCGTTTCTGAAATTACCCCTATGCAAATGTTTGGTTTGGTTTGTTTGTGATTTACGTCCCATGAACATCCACGGTCATTTAAGGACGTGCCAGGTTTTGGTGGTGAGGAAAGTCTGAGTTACCGGAGAAAAACCACCAATATACAGTCAGTACCTGGCGACTGTCCCATGTAGGTCTCGAATCCGCGATTAAGAAGTAGAGGGCTAGTGGTAGCAGAATGTCAGTAGCCCTCCGCCACTGACAATGGCGTTCATTAGTCGCCTCCAACGACATGTACATTTAGTAAGTCTAATTATTCTTCGAACATGTACACGTTTATTTATTGATATAATTTAGGGGAACTGTCTATTAAGTAATACATCTCTGCAGGTGGGGGATTTGGGGAAAAAAATTAGATATACCTGCTGTGAGCCACTGCATGATTCGTAAAAGGTGACTAATAAGGGACCCCTCTGCAGAATTGGTTTATGTGACACAGAAGCGGTCAAAAAGCGCCCATCGCATCTTTGGGATCTTTATAGTTTCTCACCTTTCTAACTGATGTTACATTGTCTGATGCCTCACTTGGCAGTTCCTCGCTGTTTTAGGCTTCAGATACATCTGTCTGTTTGCCTTGGTGCTGAGCATTTGCTCAAATGAGAAAGGTAATGTGTTCTGTCAACAAACCAGGACAAACCAAAGCCTTAGGATTGGTGCCTGATTCTCCCTGTTTGCCTTTTAAAGTTTTTAAGGATCGCGGTAGGGGAATAGTTTACCTGTTATACGTATCATGTGACCGGGTGGAACGCTGTGCTGGGTGGCTTCGGCATGGTATTTCAGTGAGATAATACTCTAAAGTCAGCAACAGATTTGCGCAAATACGTCAGCATAACGCCTCCAGCACACGCATACATTAAAGATATGAATGCATGTCCTTAAAGGACCTTACAATAACCAGGTTAATACGACGCTAAACACCATAAACCACGCAAAAATATCAATAAACAAAATACATCAAAGCATAGGTTGATTAACTTAGAGATATGAACTTAAACTGACAAAATGAAATCGGTACAGCACTATACTAAACCACGTCCTAGATACATGATCCTAGATCATGTACGAAATAGAAAACAAGCAATTAACATGTCATGTAAGATGTATCTGGAAAAAACAACATAAGGCATGGTTATAATCAATGTTAGTCTTAAGCTGTCACGTATTGTCACCCCAGTGTTAGTACCACGCTGTCATGTGATGTCACCCCCAATGTTCGTACCACGCTGTCACGTGATGTCACCCCCAATGTAAGTACCACGCTGTCACGTACTGTCATCCTAGTGTTAGTACCACGCTGTTACGTACTGTCACCCTCAGTGTTAGTACCACGCTGTCACGTACTGTCACCCCAGTGTTAGTACTACGCTGACACGTACTGTCACCCTAGTGTTAGTACCACGCTGTCATGTACTGTCACCCTAGTGTTAGTACCACGCTGTTACGTACTGTCACTCGCAGTGTTAGTACCACGCTGTCACGCACTGTCACTCGCAGTGTTAGTACCACGCTGTCACGTACTGTGACCCCAGTGTTAGTACCACGCTATCACGTACTGTCACCCCAGTGTTAGTACCACGCTGTCACTTACTGTCACCCCAGTGTTAGTACTACGCTGTCACGTACTGTCACCCTCAGTGTTAGTACCACGCTGTCACGTGCTGTCACCCCAGTGTTTGTTCTACGCTGCCACGTACTGTCACCCCAGTGTTAGTACCACGCTGTCACGTTCTGTCACCCTCAGTGTTAGTACCACGCTGTCACGTACTGTCACCCTCAGTGTTAGTACCACGCTGTCTTGTGCTGTCACCCCAGTGTTTGTACTACGCTGTCACGTACTGTCACCCCCAGTGTTAGTACCACGCTATCACGTACTGTCACCCCCAGTGTTAGTACCACACTGTCACGTACTGTCACCCCAGTGTTAGTCCCACGCTGTCACGTACTGTCACCCCAGTGGTAGTACCACGCTGTCACGTACTGTCACCCCAGTGGTAGTACCACGCTGTCACGTACTGTCACCCCAGTGTTAGTACCACGCTTTCACGTACTGTCACCCCCAGTGTTAGTACCACACTGTCACGTACTGTCACCCCAGTGTTAGTACCACGCTTTCACGTACTGTCACCCCAGTGTTAGTACCACGCTTTCACGTACTGTCACCCCCAGTGTTAGTACCACACTGTCACGTACTGTCACCCCAGTGTTAGTACCACGCTGTCACGTACTGTCACCCCAGTGGTAGTACCACGCTGTATGTATTGTCTCGCCATTTGTTTTGCCATAATTAAAAACTGTTACACTTTGTGTTATTCCCAAAATGTCACGTACTAAATCCAGCCTGTAATAATTGTACCACGCCACAATGTTTTGTCACACCTAGTGTAAGCTAACGCGTCGTGATGTTTGGGGGCGCAGAAGACGTTAATGTTCCCACACAAGCCGTTCCCTGAACTCCCTGGTCACGATTTATTAACTGGATACGCCATATATTGAAGCTATTTTATCCAACGAAAACGTGATACCATCATAAAAATCTGCGTAGTTATCCCCTTTAACGAGCACCACACTACACTCAAACGTGTATTGAAATTTCTTGTTGGGGACAAGACGAAGTAAACGCCAACATAGAAATACATAGTTCAGGAAAACTACAAAGCCTAAACACGTATCGAAGTTCCTACGAGTGAAAAAAATTCTTACATTAATATTTGAATCCTCCACAAGGATACCGCTAGGACAACATCAGTATAAAAGCCACTACTGCAATAAATCTTTACAGGGGACAACAATAAGAAAACTGAAGTATGAACATCACTAAGTAAGAACAACACGAAGACAACTTAAGCATTGCTGTCTCTATTTGCTAACGACATTTAGGCATGTACGTAAGGGTGTTTACGCAACTTCCCTTCAACAATTATTAAAATCAGGATTTCCAAGTTTCTGGCCCCAAGCACCACCGATAGCTGTATGTTACAGAGTAGTTCCTATTTGGCATACTGCATCTATTACCAAGTTTAACAGGTTCAACCACATGTGTGTGACACGTGCATCTCCATATAAGAAGACAATATCAGAACTTATATTCAAACACGAGGACAAAACTGATTAACCGTCTTTCAATGCTTCGTCGTATGTAGAACAACATGACTTACAAAGCATGAAGATATTAAACATGTGTAATACCGTTATTGAGTGGCAAAAAATGCCCCTCAACTTCCGTCAGGTCAACAAAGCCACAAAGGCCGAAGGCACTCCCAGACATTTAGTGTCATACAGAGCATACAGTATGACAGAGCATACAATATGCCAGCAAACACGTCTGTTGTTTGATAAAACATTTCATTTGGTTAAACACAAAAAGGACTTCGTGCATGTTATATTCACGGGTAATACCAACAACGCTCTTGTTCTTAAACATTACATAACTGGATCTAGTGTTAAGACATAAAGACAGAACAATTAAACTTCTCCATACGCTAGAACTCACCTGTCACACATGCAAGATCTGTCCTTTAAATCCGGGTCCCTTGTCGCACAAACGCTAATAAATACTATTTCCGTCCGCCACCTTGATGTGTCAGAGAGACATCTTCATTGTGAACCGTTTTGTGTGAGTGTGTCCATGCTTGGCCGTCATTCTAATACCTTCCAAGTAGCCATCTTTGAAACATCACGTGTGCTCACCTCTCAGCATCTGTCTCCGATAGCAGACGACCTCGACTACAAGCGTCGCAAATTGTCTCCCCCTGATAGTTACATTACCAGGTAGAAATTAATAACGAACTGCTGGCGCCACCTTATAATGCCGTGTTTGCATTCGATCTCAGCCAAACGTCAAGCCTGTAGGCTTTCAGTACTGCGAAGTGTGTGTGACATTATGGCGGCAGACAGTCAAACGAATGTCGTCCATGCATACACGTATTGATTGACATACTTGTTGGGTTGTGTCACCACGGTGTATAATAAGGTCACCGACAATCCAAATTACAGTGTCTTACTATAACAAGGCCAATAACACGCTGTGTTATACCACTCTACTATAACCTATCACCCTCCTCAGTGTTATACAAATTAACCATAACAAGGTCAACTAACCACTCTAGTATAACCAATGGCACGCCGTGTTAAACCACTCTACTATAACATGGTCAATAACACGCTGTGTTATACCACTCTTCTATAACAAGGTTAATCACCCTCCTCAGTGTTATACAAATTAACCACAACAAGGTCAACTAAACACTCTAGTATAACCAATGACACGCCGTGTTAAACCACTCTACTATAACATGGTTAATGCCACGCCGTGTTATATCACTCTACTTAACAAGGTCAATGGTATACCATGCTATATCACTTTACTATAACAAGTTCAATGACACGCCGTGTTATGTCACTCTAATATAACAAGGTTAATAACACGCTGTGCTATATCACTCTACTATAACAAGGACAAAAACACGCCGTGTTATATCACTCTACTATAACTAGGTAAATGACACATCGTGCTATATCACTCTACTATTACATGGTAAATAACACGCCGTGTTATATCACTCTATTATAACAAGGTCAGTAACACGCCGTGTTATACAACTCTACTATAACAAGGTCAATGACACGCCATGTTATATCACTCTACTATAACAAGGTTAATGACAAGCCGTGTTATACAACTCTACTATAACAAGGTCAATGACACGTCATGTTATATCACTCTACTATAACAAGGTTAATGACACGCCGTGGTNCTATGTCACTCTAATATAATAAGGTTAATAACACGCCGTGCTATATCACTTTATTATAACAAGTTCAATGACACGCCGTGTTATGTCACTCTAATATAACAAGGTTAATAACACGCCGTGCTATATCACTCTACTATAACAAGGTCAATAACACGCCGTGCTAAATCGCTCTTCTATAACAAGGTTAATAACACGCCGTTCTATATCACTCTACTATAACAAGGTCAATGACACGCCATGTTATACAACTCTACTATAACAAGGTCAATAACACGCCGTGCTATACCACTCTACTATAACAAGGTTACTAACACGCCGTGTTATACAACTCTACCATAACAAGGTCAATGACACGCCATGTTATATCACTCTACTATAACAAGGTTAATGACACGCCGTGTTATACAACTCTACTATAACAAGGTCAATGACACGCCATGTTATATCACTCTACTATAACAAGGTTAATGACACGCCGTG